AAGCTTAACCACTGACATATGGACCTCGGTACAGAGGATAAATTACATATGCATTACTGCACATTTCATTGATGATAAGTGGAAGCTCAAACAAAAAATCATAGCCTTTGTCCCTGTTTCATCTCATAGGGGAGAATATATAGCCAAGGTCTTTGAGAATTGTCTGGTTGAGTGGGGTATTAAGAATGTCTTTACTGTCACAGTTTGCAATGCCTCTTCCAATGATACTTTCCATGGGGGTTTTTCAGATGATGTCTTGGGGTAGCACTTCTGTAAGGTGTAAGTACATGCACATGAGGTGTATAGCCCACATTCTGAATCCAGTGGTGCAAGATAGTTGAAGTTTGCTGGCACTTCAGTTAAGAGGGTTAGGGAAACAGTGAGATGGGTTAGGAACTCCCCTGCAAGGCTAAAAAAGTTTAGAGACCTTGCTGATCTTATTAGGGTGGAAGCCAAATTAGCTTTGCAGCTGGATGTTCCTACAAGATGGAATAACACTTATATAATGCTCAACACTACTATCCAGCACTAGAGAGTGTTTGATGCATATGAGGGGAATGATTCCTCATTTTCTGCTGACCTTGGTTCATTTGTGCCAACTTTTCTAGATAGGTGTGATGTGAAAAGTTTGGTAACTTTGCTGAAAAGTTTCAATGATATGACTGTGAGAATTTCTGGTTCTCTTTATGTGACATCTAACACTTTCTTAAGTGAGATCTCTAATCTTAGTTGCACGTTAGATGACATGATTGGGGCTGAATCTGGTAGTGAAAAGGTAAATACAAATCAGTTAATTTTTTTTTTTTAATATGTGTTTGTTTTAATTTTTAATCTGTTAAATATTTAAAAAATCTGTGTACTGTGTTTGTTTCAGTTCTGTACAGGAAATGAGGACCCAAATGAAAAATAAATTTGAAAAATATTGGGGGTACCCTGAAAAAATGAACTGTTTGATATTCTTTGCTAATATACTGGACCCTAGAGATAAAGTTGAGTATATGCCTCACCAGTTTACTCAACCTTATGGTGAAGATAAAGGCAAAGCCTGTTTTGCTAAGGTCCAATCTGCACTGGTTGAGCTGTTCAATAATTATGCAATCACTTACTCTTTGAATGTAAGCAGAGAACCATCTAATGCCCAACCTTCTCAACTAGTGAATGTGCAGGCTACTACTGTTGGTAGGCCACGGTCTAGGTTGAAAAGTGAACTGAAAAGACAAAGAATGGAGAGTGGTGGAAGCCTTAAACAGACTGAGTTGCAAATATATTTGAGTGAGACTATTGTGGAAGATAAGGAGGGTTTTGATATCCTTAGATGGTGGAAGGTGAACTGTGAGAAATTGCACATTCTCTCAAAAATGGCAAGGGATATTCTTGCAGTACCAATATCAACTGTGGCTTCTGAAAGTGCTTTTTCTACAAGTGGTAGACTGTTAGATCCATTTAGGAGTTCCTTAACTTCTAAAATTGTGGAAGCCTTAATTTGTACACATGATTGATTGAGATTGTCAAATCAACCAATACAAATTAAGAAAAATATTAATGATTGTGAAAGGCTTGAAAAAGGCAATTAACTTATACTTTCTATTTAAAATATTAAATTATACTTTCTATTTTACTGTATTAACTAATACTAGTGTTTTTTATTTTCAGTGTTGCCACTTGGGGTTAGGAGTGCTTGGACTAGTTTATCCCTTCCAACCATTGCAGTAATGTTCATTCATTCTGCTTTGAATTTTATATTAATCTGTTATTCTGTTATCTTAGATTTTCATAATCTTACAACATGAATACATGACAATGGCTTCACTAGCTTGGCAACAATTAATTTGTTACTGCCTTTGAATTTTTGAACCCTTCAACATTTGAGTCAACATCAGGTATAATAATATCAGTTCAGTACTTCAGTATGGCCTTTAGCAATTAGAATTTTGCTTTGATTCATTTATGAATCCTGATTGCATGTGTTATGGACAATGGTAATCTGATATTCTGATATGGTATTATCATTCTTTCTTCCTCATTTACTTGTTACTTTTCTTTTGGATGTGATAATGCTTCCACCTTTGTCTGAATCAAAGGGTTTTGGGTTGTATGTTGCTCTTCTTTTGAATTTTGTTCCAAAACTTAAGTAGCAATTTGCCCCCAATTTTAACTTGATATTGAAAAACATAACAATCTGAGCCTATTATCGTTTTTGAGCAAACTGTTAAACTGTGGTTGTTTCTCCCTTTTTTCATGTATTTAACTATGTTTTAAGGGAACATTTTGTAACTTTCATTTTGTGATCTTGTAATTAATTTTTCGTATAATTGTATTATGTTAAGTTGTAACTTGTAAATTTCTTAAGTTGTTTACTACTTAGTATTTAACTTTTGAGCTGTAAAGTATAAATTTTTTTTTTAATGCTATTGACTCTATTACATTGTAGTATCTGTTCAAACATACTTTCTTAACTTAATGAAACACAAAGAGTCAACAACGCATCCACTGAGGCTCAATTTCATGACCTCCCACATGGGAGAGGTCACTACATGTCACCTGAGCACAATGTGCTTGGCTACTTATGTAATACTTTATTTTGTAGTTTTTAATTTTTTTTTATTGTAATCCGATATAATTTGAAATCCGATTACATTTGTCCCATATCCGAGCAAAATAAATATGATGAGTTGAGCTGTTAAAAATAAACATATATGGGATAATCAATATTATATGATATCCGAACGGGTGGGCGGTTCCCAAATCCAAACCGCCCGAACCCGTCCGATGCTCAGGCCTAGGCAGAAGCAACATGCAAATTATACTGTGTGGTCCAGACATCAAATATGCAGTGCAGTTTCATTTAAACACAACTACATTATCATTTTGATATAAGTATAGTTTCTCTGGACAATATACACTCAAATATGTGAAATTGTTATTCAGTTATAATACGTGAGACAATGTCAGTTTAGATACACTATAGTGTCTACTGTTTTGAACTATGGTCCACAGTATAATTGCAGGAAGCTACAGGAGAATAAACAAGATTCGGAGAAAATTAAAATATAATACTTAGTCCAATATAATTGAATGCATTGAATTGTACAAAGAACTGTGTTTACCAATCGTTATACCCTGCACCACGGCGTACAGTGCACTGTGTGTCTCGCGCCTCCCAAAACGACGTCTAAAGTTTTGGGAGGTGTGGTAGGAAGTTGACATGATTATGTATATTTGTTTATACAATTATGTATATTTTTTATTATGTACATTCTTTATATTATTATGTACATTTTTTTTATACAATTATGTACATCTGAATCAGGAAATTTTTGTATATTATGTTAAGAGTTGATGTGTATTATGTTAAAAGTTTATGTTTATTATGTATTATGTTAGATTATGTGTATTATCTTTTTAAAAAGAGTATGTGTATTTCGTTATATAATTATGTACATTCATGTATACAATTATGTGTATTCTAGTATAACATTATGTACATTTTTGAACATGAATCTTTTTTTTTTTAAGGAAAATTAACTGCTAAACATTGGGTAGCGAAATTTAAAAAAAAAAAAAATTGAAACGACGTCGTTTTGCATTTAATCGCACAATGCAACACGCGTCGTGGTGCAGGATATAAATTGCTCTGTGTTTACACAAAATTGGGGCACACGATAGGGAAACTAGAAATCCTTCCATCTCTAAGTTTCCAAATAATAGGGAAGTAAAGAAATCAAAAAATTCCTAATAGTTCTAATATTCCTAATTTAAGTTACGCAGCCATCATTTTCAAAAAAAAAAAAAAAAGTTACGCAGCCATCCTAATCTCTATTTAGGAATTAGGAACACTGTAAGTCTTAACTATTATAAATTAAAAGAGAAAATTTCAATTTTGGTCCACTGACTATTAAGGTTGTGTTAATTGCAACACTTGACTTTCAAAAATATTTATTTAGTACCTTGACTATGCAATTTCTATCAATTTTGGTCACGCCGGCCAAATTACTGGCCAAATCTCACCGGAAAAATTTAATAGGTCAATTTATGAGGGTATTTTAGTAATTTTACTTTCTTTTTTCTTCTCCGATGAGCTTCTCCATTTCCAGCGACGTTCTTCTCCATTTCCGGCGATGTTCTTCTCCATCTCCATATGTTCTTGGAACTCCAGTTTGCACAATATACGAGTATGAGTCTGCGTGAGAACTTTGCACTCTTGCTCCAGAGCACATGCAACTGTATGCTTCGCTAATCTGCAGCAATGGACTCATTTTTCAGAATAGGGCATCATCTTGAATTTACATTCTGCATTTGATTTTTATTGAGCATGAAAGCGATCAGGATGAGTTTCCCATACCTTCCTTCTATAGGCAGCTTTAACCTGAGATGGGGAGGGATGACAATTTGGGGAAAAACCTAGCAAGGCTTTTGCCTCGTCGGCCAGCATCTCCCTTCTTGTCGACAATTAAGCCATTTTTCTATTTGGAATCCGACTTGGGTTGGGCGACTTGAAATTCCCCCCGCTAAAGAAGAACATCGCCGAAAATGGAGAAGAACGTCGCCGGAAATGGAGAAGAACGTCGCCGGAAATGGAGAAGCTCATCGGAGAAGAAAAAAGAAGAGTAAAATTACTAAAATACCCTCATAAATTGACCTATTAAATTTTTCCGGTGAGATTTGGCCGGTAATTTGGTCGACGTGACCAAAATTGATAGAAATTACATAGTCAAGGTACTAAATAAACATTTTTGAAAGTTAAGTGTTGCAATTAACACAACCCCAATAGTCAGTGGACCAAAATTGAAATTTTCTCTAAATTAAAAATTTGCTAAAACAAACAAAGACCAGCTTGGAGGTATAGATATTGCAGATTAAACTAGAAAACTATTAGTGGAGTCGCCGGAGAAAACAGTCTGCGCCGGAACCGTCACAGATCTGGAGTGGAGTCAGTAGGGGCAAGAAGAAGCTTGTCCGCCGTCCTACGCTGCCGGCCGAAACTGTTGTGCTGCTAGCAAGAAGAAACCATCGTTGTCGGAACCGTCGTGCAGTACCTACTGTCCAGTGAGTCTACGCCGGAACCGTCGTCGGCCTGAGGCAGTGACGCAGCGACGAACTGACGATGATGAGGGCATACTGCAGAGGCGTTGGAGACTTCAGTACTTGTTGAAACAGCAGGTGCCCAAATCTAAGTAATAGAAAGCGCAGGTGTTTCAAGTGAAATAATTCCTCCTCATCTTGGCAGTAGGGCATATGCATATCATCGATGCAATTACGCTCTATAGTTGACCAACATTTCTTGTTTTTGCAAATTCTCATCTCGATCTGATCAGTCCAGAAAAAATTAAAAAAGAAAAGAAAACAAATTCAATGGATTTTGCTGTTGTAACTTCACTTCTAGGCATAGTAGAGGAGCAGCTTCTGCGGAAACCCCGTCCTCCTTTTATTCTTCCTGATGATACTCAAATCATCCTATCCTTAAAGGATTAAGCTTCTCTCCCTGCAAGCCTATCTACAAATACCTAAGCCCATAACCTCTGATCAGGAGGCAGTGAAAAGGTTGGATGAAGAAATCAGAGATGTTGCATTCAAAGCAGAAGATGAAATCGAGTCCAAACTAAGTGATGTTTATCTGGGGGTTGGTGAAGATCTTCATCAAACCTTGCAACAAGTAGTGAAGGATATTGAGTCAATTGAAGTGCGCATCAGTGATCTGCAAATAACACATACTGCCGCCTCCTCCTCCGCCTCCTCCTCCTCCTCGCTTGATAGTGATGATGCTTCACCTTCTTTACGGCTAGAAAAGTTCTTGGAACATGATGATTTCAAGCGGATTGGAGCAGAAGATGCATTTTTTATGAAAATAAGGAAAGTGCTGGTTGATTGGCGGTCCAAACCACAAGCAGTCATCTCAATTGTAGGTGCCAGTAGGATCAGTAATACTTCTTTAGCTCGAAGACTTTATGAAGATCCATCAATTGTGTATCACTTCCCCATTCAAGCATGGACCACTGTGTCACCATTGCGAGAATTCAACGAAAGACAACTACTCTTTCAACTTTTAGGTTCTATTGACTCCTCATTGCTGACCAGCATGTCCTCCGATGAAGACGCTGATCACCTAGGAAAGCTACTGTGCCAAAAACTGAAGGGCCAAAGGTATTTAATTGTCATTGATGGCATTCGGACACAAAAGGCATGGGATGACATTCAAAGGTATTTTCCAGATGATTTAAATGGAAGCCGAATTCTGATGACTACTGGAATAATGGGAGTGGCTAAATATGCTAGCTCAAGTAAGTATACTTAGATATTTTGTTTTTAAATTTGCATATTGAGTTAATTGAAAGTGTTTAATGGAGTTAGCTAGGTTTTAGGCAAAAAGATTTGGTAGTTTTTTTATTTTATTTTTTATTATTATAATTTTTTTGATAAATTGTGGTTAGTGTTGACTACTATTCAATTGCAAAAAATTTAAGATAAAAGTGTGGTAAAAGCTGGTTATGTAATTATAGTAGAACAACCATTCAAATCTTATGGTAGAAGTAAGACACAGTTATATCCCCAATTGCAGCCAAATAGATAAAATCCAAATAAATTTTTATTTGGCAGGTATAGTTGAGGTTGTTCAAGGTAATACAATGATAGGACTGGAAGATGAATTTGAGAAAATAAGGGATTTGCTCATTTTTAATCACCATGAACGAGAAGTCATCTCAATTGTTGGAAGGGGTGGAGCAGGGAAAACCACTTTAGCTCAAAAACTTTATTACGATCCATTAGTTTTGTCTCAGTTTGAAATTCGAGCATGGATCACATTGTCTCAAGAATTCAGTGTGGGAATGGCACTTCTTGGCATTATAGGTTGTATTGTTTCAGTGACTAACGAAATCTCCAAAGCAGACGACACTGAATACCTAGCAGATCGACTGCGCAATATTCTCAGTGGCCAAAGGTATTTAATCGTCATTGATGACATTGGGACGACAGAGCTTTGGGATCACCTTCAAACTTGTTTTCCAAATGATTTGAATGGAAGCCGAATTATAATAACTACTGAAACGATGAGTGTGGCTGGAAATGCTAGCAGATCAGGTTATATTTATGAAATAGGTTTTCTAACTTCAGAGGAAAGCTGGGATTTGTTTGTCAAAACATTAATGTTTAATCCATCCCCTGAACACGAGTCAATTGGAAGAAAAATTGTTGGGATGTGTGGTGGATTGCCACTGTCAATTGTCATATGTGCTGGAATTCTGGCGAACCACAAAATGCCACCTGAGCAGTGGGAGGATTTTGCTCAAAAGTTTGATTCAACATTCATGGGAAAGGAGTCTCACCATCACCCAGATTATTCAGAGATAACTGCATTGATCTACAACAACTTGCCAAGTCACTTACGAGCTTGTTTTCTGTACTTGGGAATTTTTCCTAAAGGTAGTGTGATTTGTGTGAAAAAATTAATAAAGTTATGGATGGCAGAGGGATTTCTGGTGTCCAAGGTAGATAAGAGTTTGGAAGATATAGCACAGGATTCCTTGAATGATCTTATTACTAGAAGTATACTTATAGTTGAGAAGTGGAGTTTTGATGGAAAAGTCGAGTCATGTAGGATTCGTGATTGGCTACATGACTTTTGCTTGAAAAAAGCACAAGAAGATAACACTTTGGTTGTTATTAATGAATATTGTGGTGATCTTGCAAGAACTTGGTCAAGAGTGGAACAATCCCAGCTACGTTGTCGTTGGATGAGCTGCCAATCCCATCTTTGGCCAATTACTGAATCAAGTTCATTCAATTACACTTTGAGCAAAATCCGTTCCATTCTCCATTTTGGTAAAGATTTATCCCTTGCAAAAAACAAGTTCATATTTCCATGTCTCAAATTGCTAAGAGTTTTGGATTTATCTTTGGTAAAGTGCTCGAATGGCATGCCGAGTGAAATTGTGAATTTGATTCATTTGAGATATTTAGCCTTAACCACTACAGGTTCTCTTTATAATTTTCAATTGTTTAAACTCCAAAATTTGCAAACTCTCATTCTCTCCTCATGGATGGAAGAGTGTCCTTTGCAACTGCCATGTGATATTCTGAATTTGCCTTGGTTAAGGCACGTGCACCTTGACAAAGGATCTTCACTTTATCTCCCAAACTCCATCAAAGGAAATCTACAAACTCTTTTCTGGTTGAAGGTTGCTTGTTGGGGGACAACAACAACACTAGACTTCACAATGGTTCCAAACTTGAAGGAATTGGGAATTTACATGGAAGGTGAAATGTCAGCTAGTACTCTTCACAATCTTACTCAGTTATATCAACTTCAGATTCTAAAATTTGAAATGGGAAGGGTCAAGCACTTTTATATCCCTCCTTTTTTTCCGCCAAACATCAAGAAATTGAGCCTTCGTAATACCAATCTTTCATGGGAAGAAATGGACATTATTGGCAAGCTGTCCAACCTTGAAGTACTTAAACTAAAAGAGTTTGCTTTCTGTGGCCCAAAGTGGGAACCAGGAGTCGTGTGCTTTTCTCGATTAAAGTTCTTGCATATTGTGGATCTGGATCTTAAACATTGGAATGCAAGTGCAGATAATTTTCCAGTTTTAGAATGCTTAGTCGTGAGATGTTGCTGCCACTTGAAAGACCTCCCAATTGATATGGCATGGATTTCCAGCCTGAAACTAATTGAGTTAATCGACTGCTGTCCTTCTCTTGTGAAGTCTGCAATGAGGATTAATCAAAAACAGATATTTAGTTGTGGAACTGATGGTCTAGTTGTTCGACATTCTTTAACTAAGGTACGTATATCTCTAATAAGTCTAATTAATTTCTTGATTGATTTCAAATAATGATTTCCTAGTCTTTTGATTCTATAAATTATATTAATTTATTTTTAAATACTTCCTCATGTCTCTCTAATTTTCATCTCTTTGTTTCATTTTTGAACTATTTTAAATTCGTAGGATGAATTGGCAATGGAAGATGAAAACTATGAAGAAGTAGGGTGTGGTGATGAGAACTATGAAGAAGAAATTGAAATGAGGAAGAAGAAGAAGAAGTAGGGAGTGGTTTACTAAAGGTATGGAACATCTATCAAAGCCCATCAATTTGGGATTTCCTCAAGACTATTCTACTTTTGTTTAAATTTCACATTTCCAAGATTTCATGCATGCAATAATTCTTGTCTCAGTGCAAATCTCCACTAGCTTTTGTTGTCGTAACTTCTCTACTGGGAGTTGTGGACCAACACCTTCTGAAGCCCAATCCAGTCTTCAATAATGTTATTGATGATCCAAAAATAGCCTTGTTGTCCAAAAAGATCTGCAGCTCTCTGCGATACGTGCTGGAGAAATTATGGGAGATACAAACGGTAGATGAATCTCAGCTGGATGCGAAAATCAGAGATGTAGCTGTTGAAGCAGAAGCTAAAATCGAATCAAAACTCAGAGAGGTATATTTGGCTACCAGCAGCAAAGGAGATCACGAGGCCACTTCTCGTGGGCTTCGTGAGACCCTGCAATACGTTGTGGAAGACATTGAATCGCTTGAAGCCCAGATCAAGATTCAGAAGGAATTCGAAGTCAAAAGCCTCCCCCTTAAAGAGCTTTCATCAACTCCGGCAGAGGCTGTAAAGGCAGAAAGCACCGTGATTTCTTGCTCCTCCTACCACAATTTGGCTCTTGGAAATGAAATGATAGGACGCGATGTTGAATTTCAGAAGATATTGGACTTGATTTTGCATATTCGACGGTCTGATGAAGTCATTGCGGTTACTGGGATGGGCGGTATTGGAAAGTCGACTTTGGCACAAAGAGTTTACGAGGACCCAGCAATCAGATCGCACTTTGACATTTGTGCATGGACTGTCTTGTCGCAGCAGCACAATGTAAAAGAGATACTCCTTTGCCTTTTAGGGCAAATGTGCATTGGAATATACACGACAGACGACAATGAGGAGCAGCTAGCAAACCAACTGTTCAAAAGCTTGTTTCGTCGAAGGTATTTGATTGTTGTAGATGACGTATGGAGTACTCAGGCATGGGATGACATCAAACCATATTTTCCAAATTCAATAAGTGGGAGTCGAATCCTGATGACAACTCGATTAGTGGAAGTGGCTTCATATGCTACCTCATCACAATCATTTGTTTTCCGTATGCCTTTTCTAAATCTGGATGAAAGCTGGAAACTACTTGTCAGGGAAGTGTTTAAAAGAAGAGATTGTCCACCACCAGATGAATTTGAGTCAATTGGGAGAAAAATTGTTAAGAGATGTGGTGGATTACCAATTTCAATTATACTGATTGCTGGAATTCTGGTCGGCCGGCTCAACATGTCACCACATGAGTCGTGGAATGATTTTGCTCCAACTATTAATTCAGCTTTAATGGAAGTGGAATCTTCTGGTCACACAAGCATATTTGCATTGAGCTACAAACATTTGCCAGTTCACTTGAAAGCCTGTTTTCTATATTTAGGAATATTTCCAATGGGCAGTGTCATCTATGTCAAGAAATTGATAAAGTTATGGGTGGCAGAGGGATTTTTAGAGCCAAAGATGCATAATGGTTTGGAAGAGGTAGCAATGAATTACTTGAATGATCTTATTGACAGAAATCTAGTTCTAGTTGTGAAGCAAAATTATGATAAAAAGGTCAAGTCATGTAAGCTCCATGATTTGGTACATGACTTTTGCTTGAGAAAAGCACAAGAAGAGAACATGGTGGTTGTTAGTAATGATGATCTGGCAGGAACTCGGTCGGACACAAAACAACCGAAACTAGGTTGTCGTTGGATAAGTTGTCAATCCCGCCGCTGGCCATTTACTAGATCAAGTTCTTTGAATTACACACAGGGCAAAATCCATTCCATTCTCTATTTTGGTAAAGATTTACACCCTAAAAAATGCAGGTTGATGTTTCAATGTCTCGAATTGCTAAGAGTACTGGACTTATCTTCAATACAATACTCAAATGGCATGCCCAGTGAAATTGTGAATCTGATTCATTTGAGATATTTGGCATTAACCACTGTAGGTTCTCTTCACAACTCTCAATTGTTTAAGCTCCAAAGCTTGCAAACTCTCATTCTGCTTTCATGGAAGGAAGGGTTTCATTTTCAATTGCCATGTGATATTTTGGATTTGCCTTGGTTAAGACATGTACACATTGACAAGGGATCTTCACTCTATCTCCCAAACTCAATTCAAGGAAATCTGCAAACTCTTTTTTGGTTGAAAGTTACTAGTTGGGATACAAAAACACCAGACTTCAAAATGGTTCCAAACTTGAAGGAATTGGGAATTTACATTGAAGGTGGAGTGTCGTCTAATGCACTTGATAGTTTTACTCAGCTACATCAACTTGAGAAGTTAAAATTTGAAGTGAGAGGGGTTGACCACTTTAATCTCCCAGTTTCTTTTCCATCAAGTATCAAGAAGTTGACCTTTTGTAAAACCGATCTTCCATGGGAGAAAATGGATATTATTAGCAAGTTACCCATTCTTGAAGTACTCAAATTGAAAGATTTTGCCTTCCGTGGCTCAAAGTGGGATGCATCCGAGGAGGAGTTTACAAATTTAAAGTTTTTCCTCATTGAACGTTCTGATCTCAAACATTGGAAAGCAAGTTCTGATAACTTCCCAGGTTTGAAGCACCTAGTCCTAAAAAACTGTTGGGACTTGGTAAGCATTCCAAGTGAATTTGCTGACATTTACACGCTGGAATCGATTGAGTTAGAAAGTTGTTGTTCTTCCCTTGAGATGTCTGCAGAGGAAATTAAAGATGAAGTACAGGACTGGGGGGGTGATTTACTTGTTCGTAAACTTGGAATTAAGGTAGTCACTCTCAAATACTCAATCCTAACATTCGAACTATATATGGTTCTGCTTCTTATTACTTCCTATGTTTGTGTTCTCACTTGGAATTGTTTTCCTAGGACAAAACGCCAGAAGAAGAAAGTGAAACTGAGGAAGAAGACAGCGAGGGATCTGATGATGTTAACTAAAACATTACTGATCTAAGGAAGGTATGCATGCATATGAAACATGAACTATACTTATATTAAAATCCTAAACAGTTGCAAAAAGTAATGTTAATGTTTGATATATGTATACTTTTTCTTCACAGATGAAGGTGATCTCTGGCAACCAACAAAGCTATGAAAATGGTGTGTTTTGTAGAGGCTAATGTTGCAACTTATAAAGTTGTTTGTTTGTCTATCTTTTCAATATTGTGGTTCGGTCTCTTGGGATTTATTAACTCCTATGTTTCCAGTAGGAGACCCTCTTGTAGTGAATGGCACATATATATGATTCTGCATATGCATTCAAAGTAAATGAGCCTGTCTTCATTGTAATTCCCACGCCCTCATAGAGTTTGCTTGTGAAGAAGCACCACAAATTTTAGGACATTCTCATTATGAGGATATTAGTCTCAACCTCGACCTTATTTCATCTGAGCGGAAATTACAATTTTCGTGTCTGAATTATTATTATTATTATTATTTCCGTCGGTCTTGCTTTTAAGTTCTTTTCAAAACAATTTGCACAATAATTAAGGACAAGAATAACAATTACTAAAAAACTGAGAAACAATATCACATCTTAAATAAAAACTTAAAAGCAAAATAACAATATAAGTAATTAAGTATCCAGTAAATTAAGGATGAAAATGACAATTATCTTCATAATTACAAATAACTAACAAAAAATAATATTATGTGTTAGCTACTGGCTACATACTTTTTCTGATTTCCTTTTTGCTGCAGGTTATTCCCTAATCACAGGGCTAATTAGGAGCGAAATTGCAGAAATAATTTGGGAGGTGGTGGTCGGCATATCTCTTTCCTTCCAAAAACATGCGCCGATTGCTTCTTCAGGCTTGTCTGATTGCATTCCTTTTAGCTGCAAAACTGTGGGTTTAATAATGCTTAGTTCATCCTTCTTAAACCATGGAACATCTACCTTTAAATCTGAACACCAAATTACCCCCCACCGTTTCCCGTTAATCCCCCTAATCCATATTTTCTTTTCCTCTGTGATGAACGGGATGGGATAATCCACGGTAAAATTTGCAAATCAACAGTCTGGGTTCTTGCTGTTATTCATGAGAACCCAGATAAGGATGTTGATTTGATCTCCCTTATTGTAGAAAAGAGACAGCTTTGAATTCCATTCTCTTGGAATCACATACCTCCAATCTGAGAAGAGATTTTCTGGGATTTTAGCAGATTTAATGCTCTCGTCCTCTGCCGTCCGTCTCCATTGTGACGATATAGAAAATATTTTCCATGCTCAGAGCATATATCTCCGGCTTCTGGCCGGCATTGCTAATGCAGTGTATGGAGTTTGGTGGGGAATTCTTGAGAGGTCTCCACGCTGCATCAACGCCCACTGTTACTGCTCTAAATCGTCCAAACAAAACTGCTTCCGACTCCGAGAAACTTATCACCGTGCATTCTTTATTATTTTTGAGACGAAGAACATTCTGGCCACCACCCAAGTCAGGCGATTCATCGCCGACACGGAGATCCGGCAAAAGTATACGGTTTGCCTCGTCGCCGGATTCCTTATGCCAAGCCTTTCCGTGGGATCTTTACGACGCCCGTGCTCGTGCTCTAACACTAACCCTTTCTGTATATCAATACATGATGATGAGAATCCCGAACAAAACTGATTTATGTATTTCTTTTGATAGTACCAACACGGGCGGCGCGGCGGTGATGCTTTTGGACGAAGTCATCTTGTTGAATAAGTTGGCGCCACTTCTTGCAGAGGTACTTAAATCTCAATAATGATTCCACCGGGGGTAACCAACTCAGGATATCGGCGACCATATCTTCCGGCAGCGACAGTGATGCATCGGATACCCGCGGCATTGCTTTAGACATTGTAGCCATGACATGCAAAGGGAAGACGCACACAACAATTATAAATATTTAATTTATTGAAGCAGATCTGAGATTATATTGTTTATGTTTAGGAAAAGTATTCTTAGGAAATTAGGAAACTGGTTAACGAATAATAGAGTCAATAGCATTCAAACTACCTGTTCTAGAGTTTAGGATTTGAACTTTGGAAATTTCTATTGTGGAGGGGTAACCTCGGGGGCAATCATTATTAAATTTGGTCAAACTAACTCTTCTTTGCTCTTTTAATTTCTTTAACATTTTCCTATAATGTTTTAAATTTGGTCTTTCGTATTAAATGAAGTGTTTAAATATATAAATGTTATTCACTAATGTGAATATATACTCTTCCTCACTATTAGGGGCTTAAGTTGGATTAAAACACATAATTTAACAAAATGGAAGAAAAACATTCAAATCAGATTCTCTTATTCAACTGACAATAGTTTACCTCAACAGTATCCTTTCCAATCCACCAGCACAGGTAATAATCTTCTTTCTTATCATGAGAGTGATAGGTGTATAGAACTACATAGCAATCTCCGCTGTAGAATTTGCCAACATCATCTTTGGGAACTGGAGTTTTTGCACTGCCATTGATGCACCAAACCTGATATAAAGGCAGCATTTAGTATTACATAAATGGATGGTAGCTGTCACCGGTATGAAATTTAAAAGATAACACCACCTCTATTTAACTATCTTGCAATGATCAATCAGAGAGAGAATTCCGAATAAAACAACTAAGAAGATATTAAAACAGAAGGAACTTTGTTCCATTCTTCCTAATATTTAGCTCATGAAATAATAAATTTTAGGGAAAAGGGTCAAATAAGCCCTCCAACTATTGCTAAGAAGTCAATTAGGCCCTCCAACTATTTTAAGAAGCAATTACACCCCTAAACAATGTATTTTGATGCAAAGAAGTCCAAATACAGGTAAATGACCTGCTATCCCAGGTTATCGCAAATCCGGCGACACTCCGACGTATTTTCCGGCGAAAAAGTGACCGGCGAACGGTCGCCGGTCACTTTTTCGCCGGAAAATACGTCGGAGTGTCGCCGGATTTGCGATAACCTGGGATAGCAGGTCATTTACCTGTATTTGGACTTCTTTGCATCAAAATACATTGTTTAGGGGTGTAATTGCTTCTTAAAATAGTTGGAGGGCCTAATTGACTTCTTAGCAATAGTTGGAGGGCTTATTTGACCCTTTTCCCTAAATTTTATATGAAACAAATCAAACATCTGATTATATTTTTTAAAAACTTTTTGCCAGATGAAAAACAAGAATTCCAACACGTTAATTTTGAAAAACCACATAACATAGGCTGACTTTATGTTAGAACTCAGCAATCACTATTTTTAACCTTTAAAAAGGCTAACCATTGAATAGAGATGGCTAATGTGATTGAAATGTAAAATCATTTTAATAAAAAAAATAAAAATCAAAGATTTCCAATTTTATAGTGAAATATTTGGATTTGTGTTTAAGGCTTAAACCAACTTAGTTTACTACTAAAGTTTCTTCATTTTAGTAGTAATAATGATGACCAAAAGCATCACCAAAATCATTAAAAAAAAATAAATTTATATCTCTCTTAGGCAGAGCACTGAAAATTTCTCAATTTTAGCAAATCACTAAAAGGAGTGATATGGTAACATAATTTATGTAAATCAAGTTTCAAAGTGGCAAAAACAATGAAATTCAGAAGTACCTAAAAAGTTTGGGGGGAGCCTTCTCAGGCAGGGACGGAGCCAGGAATTATGTTGAGGGGGGCGAAATAGGGACAGATTCAGAAATTTTTTCCCAGTAAAGGCGAAACATTAAAATAAAAGAGATATTTAAAAAAAAATTACCTAATAAATATATGTGTAAATATTATTGGATATGGGCGAAAAATAAAACATATGAAAACTTTATAAAAATATTCATAATAAAATATGAAACATAATTAATTTGATAAAATAATTTGAATATATATGTATGTATGTGTGCGTATTAAATTTTAAAAAAGCTATTAAAACGTGATTGTGTTAAAACCATAGGGAAGGAGCCAAAAAAAATTGGTAAAATTATATTGACAACAAAAGGAATTGAACCCTTGACCTTTAATATAACTAAACACATACTCTACCAACTAATCTAACTCATCGCTTATTAACAATCAACAGTTTTTATATATTAATACTCAAACATGAACTATATATACATACACATATTATATATGGGGTGGGGGTGGGGGTGGGGTGACGGGGGCAGCTGACCCCCCTGCCCCCCCTTTGGCTCCGTCCATGTTCTCAGGAATAATATCATATTCACTTGCAACTTTCTTGCTAATTGGAGCAAACCCTCCAAAAAGCACCCAAAATTCACCAGAATTTGTTTCAGCTTGTAGATTTCCATCATCTGGTGAACACAATTACAGATTTCAGAAAGTAGCGGGTACATCTATAGTTTCTGAGGAATACAAAAGTTCAAGAAATATTATTAATATGCTCTGGACCAAAAGTATAAAAATTTTAAAATACCTCCTATGTTCTTGCCACAAGCTGCAGCCAAACCAGCACTCAGGGGATAAAGAGTATCATCTAAATCTGGATACTTGTAATGGTTAACTGCCAGAGAAATTATGCTACAACGCCTACAAGATTGCTGTTTCAATCTATACACAGCAACGCACAGGGTTCCATTGGTCATTATGTGGACAATTCTTTGCTAAACACTTACTCGACTTCATCGTATGGAACATTTAAAAAAAAAAATACAGTAAGAGAAAGACTAAGCTACATACCAGATTGAAAATTTCTGGTGCTACCCAGATTCCAATGAAAAAATCTGGGTATAGGAGGCCGCATATTGGATAGCTGAAAAATCTGGATATTTGATTGGCCTTATTCGTCTCCAGCAGTCTCTTTCAAAGAGTCCTACGCGTTGAGAAAGTATAATAGTTCAAAATAAGGCCGATATACAGATTAAGTAATTCACACATGGCAAACTACTGATCTAGGCTTAGCAAAAGATGATATGTGCATACACAAAAAGGCTTTAAACTTTTAAAGAATGCATCAACCTTAACGTATAGTCCCTAGAAATGAATCTATAGTAGCACTTGGTGATTAGAAATAAATTGGCAAAACCAGAACAGAATAATAGAGGAAATTTGTCAAGAACAGATAAGTACTTGAAACAAACACAAATTCAAGAACACTACTCTAAATTGACCTCATAAGATGTAAGAGAATGTGATAAATCAATAATAATATGTTTTCTAAACATTGCTTAGAGAAATTACTTGTCTGATTTACTTATAAAAAACAAATCATATAAAATAAACTACTTCATTCACTAAAACTTAAAGGTATTTAATCTTTAAACAATATCATAAAATCTTTGCAAAAATTAAGTAAGACAAACAGTATTACTTACACTAAGACACCTGAATGGATCATATTGAGACAACACTATAGTCAAACAGTGTTCTGCTTCACTTGCAACCATGATCAACATCTTGGAACCATAAGAATTATGTCTAAAAATAAAAAGAAAATAATATGAATAATAGCAATGCAGATGCTTACTTTAGAAGCACCATCCTTGGTAACATTAAGCAATTTTTCAATTATAATCTCAATGGAATCCTCCATATAATCCTCAATATTACCTAAAGAAATTTGTCATTAGAAATTGATATGATTGTGTGATGCTAAGCAGCCAAGATTGATTTTAATTAGCAATAATACCTTATTCCACATAGATTGATCATTAGCAACAGAAACTTCAACCAACTGTTGGAGTGCAACGTCCTTGTTTTCTGCCTCGGTCACCGGAGAAATCTAAAAACTCGAAGCCTCGTAGGTAGATCTAGGGTTTCCTATGTATAGATCCAGAGAGGTTAAATAATGAGTGATAGAGCTTGAGACTATGAGTATGAGTAGATGAGGTTAGAGGGGCTTACCGGAGACGGAGACAAGGCTGTGAGCGGTGGAAAACCGGAGACCGAGTGGTTGTCGCATATCTGTGAGCGGCAGTCTCCAGAGAATCGGAGATGATGGCTTAGTGAAGTCGTGACTCGTGAGGAGTGAGACTATGGGAGAGATAAGCTGATGTAATGGTTCCGAAGATTAATCAAGGAAGCAGGAGAACAGACGACGTCGTATGAGAGCAAGGAAGTTAAAGCAGTTACGGGAAATGCAAAACGCAGCGTTTGAAGGGGAAATTAAGTGGCAGTTATGGATTAGCCAACGACGCCGTTTAGCTTCTTAATTCCGTTAAGTTTGTTACATTGTAGAACTTAAATAAGCAGCAGTTATGTTGTGGAGGATTATTCAGTTTTCAGATAATGCAATTTCTACTTCTCAACTCTCAATTCTCTTCTTCTTCTTCTACCTCGCACCTCTTCTAACCCTAGTTTCGTTACATCTGGTATCAGAATCCACGATGGAAGCTCGAATGAATCAATTGGAATTGGTAGTTGCCGATCTGAGCAACCAAATGGGGGAGCATAGAAGGACAACAGCAGAGCTGGTGGATCGAATAGTAGTTCAGATGGAGAATCAGACCAATCAGATGGAGAATAGGATGAACGAATGGAAAAACGAGATCGTAGAAACTCTGCGACTCAACCGACCTCCACTACCAATTCTGGACGCTGCTCAGGGAGGATCCTCAGTGAATGGCGTACGAGCTGAGCCTCCAGTTAACTCTCAATAAGGCCAGACGACGCAACTCCATAGGCCGGGGAAAGCGCCGACAGTACAGAACTATGGTGAGGATTCTGACAGTGAGATGGCACCAGAGGAGCTGAGTACTAATGGATTCAGAAGGAACCGGCCAGCAGTTTCCCAAAGACCTGGAATGGACTCTCCTCTGTTAAGATACCGGTATGACTTCCCAACCTTTGATTACAGTCAACCTAGGCTTTGGATTAGCAGGTGTGAGCGGTTCCTATTAATGGCTCATATTCCTAGAGTGGAGGTTATGCATGTGTTGTATGTTAATCTAACTGGTAGAGTTGGCCTGTGGTTTGAGGGGTACCTAACGGGGTTGGATGGACCCTTCCAATGGTCCCAGTTTGCCGAAGCAATTTGTAGGAGGTTTGGGGAAGACTGTGGTGTAGTCATGGAGGAGTTTACTGTGTTTAGACAAAATGCAGGAGTGCTTGAATTTAATGATAAGTTTGAAGAATTCCAGAGTCTATTGATCCATAATCACCCTACACTCACTGACTTATACTTCCTTGAAGCTTACCTAGCCAGACTGAAACCAACCTTGAGAGGATTTGTGAAAACAATAAGCCTAAGAACCTAGCAGATGCAATGTGGATTGCTAGGCAGCTGGAGAGAGGACTTAAACCATACAACCCAACCCTAAACACCAAGCCCACCAGCCCCCAAACTACCCAAGACTCCTCAGCCTCTAACACCCTAAATAGCACTGCAAGGAATTCTGAAAATATGAGGGCAAGAGCACAATTAAGGGAACAAAACAAATGTTTTAAGTGTTTTGAACCATGGCAGCCTGGCCATAGGTGTAAGGGATCCACACTCCACAGTATTGAAGAGAATGAGTTCCATTATGCACCAGAAGAAATAAGTAAGAATGAGCAGGAGGATGGTGAATGCCAAGAACAAGCTGAAATCTCCCTATATGCCATAATGGGGGGTGAAGGGTTGAACACAATTAAACTACTGGGAAGTGTCTCCAAACAACCAGTGGTAATCTTAGTTGACAGTGGAAGCACCCACAGCTTTTTAGATCCTAAACTCTTAACTCAATTAAGGGTTGAACAAGAAAAAGCCCCCACACTGAGTGTTACAGTGGCTAATGGGGAACAAGTGAGGTGTGATGCCATGTGCAGGGGACTGAAATGGTAGATCCAAGGAGAAAAGTTTGAAAAGGATTTCAGGTTACTAAGGCTAGGGGGTTGTGACATGGTTCTTGGAATGGATTGGATAGATCAATTTGCTCCTATCCAACTCCATACTAGACCCTTGGGCATCTCATTCCACATGGATGGGAAAAAGGTCTTATTGAAGGGCCTGACCAACAAGACAGCTAGATTACAAGAGGTATCCAAGAAAGAATTGCAGAAATGGCAGAAGGGGGAATTCAAGGGTTCTTGATTCAATGTGAAGGCTGGGATAGCAAGGAATCCAAGGTACCCAGGAGCAGTTGTTTTAAAGTGAACATTCTGACAGAACATCAGGAACTGTCTGATATAATCCAAGAGTTCCAAGAAGTGTTTGAGGAACCTAAGGACCTACCCCCCAGAAGAATGTATGATCACTCCATTCCTCTAATTCCAGGGTCTCAACCAGTTAATATCAAGCCCTACAGATACAGTTTTGATCAGAAAAATGTTATAGAGGAGATGGTGAGAGAGATGCTGGAAACTGGAGTGATTGCTAAGAGTGTGTCCCCTTTTTCTTCACCTGTGTTGTTAGTACCTAAGAAGGACAACACATGGAGGTTTTGTATTGACTATAGGGCATTGAACAACATCACTGTCAAGAATAAATTCCCCATTCCAGTGGTGGATGATTTGTTTTCTGAATTAGCAGGCTCCAAGTATTTTTCTAAATTAGATCTGAGAGCAGGATACCACCAAGTGAGAATGAGGGAAGGGGAGGAGTATAAGACTGCATTTAAAACTCACCAAGGGCTGTATGAATTTAGAGTCATGCCCTTTGGACTCACCAATGCTCCAGCTACCTTCCAAGCCTTAATGAACCATGTTTTCAAGCACTTGCTGAGGAGATTTGTACTAGTTTTTTTTTATGACATTCTGATCTATAGCCATGAATTGGAGGCCCACTGGAAACACTTGAGGGAGGTTTTGGAACTTATGAGAAGACACAAGCTATATGCTAAAATTAGTAAATGTTCATTTGCTAAGAGGGAAGTGGAGTATTTGGGACATGTTATTTCTGGGGAGGGATTACACACTGACCCCTCCAAGTTGCAGGCAGTAGCTCAATGGCCTAAGCCCACATCAGTTAAAGGCCTGAGGGGATTCTTGGGGCTGACTGGCTACTATAGAAAATTTATTAAGGCCTATGAACCATTAACAGGCCCTTGACAAATATGTTGAAACAGAACTCTTTCCAGTGGAACAAGGAAGCTGAATTTGCCTTTGATACATTGAAGCAGGCACTATGTCAAGCTCCTGTCTTGGCATTACCAGATTTTAATAAAGAGTTTACAGTGGAAGCTGATGCATGTTATAAGGGAATGGGAGCTATGTTGATACAGGAAGGAAAACCTATAGCCTATTTCAGCAAAGCTTTTGGAGATAAACATTTAGGCTTATCCATCTATGAAAAGGAGTTTCTGTCTATTATCAATGCAGTAGAGAAGTGGAGGCCTTATCTACTTGGCAGGCACTTCTTTATCCAAACTGATCACCACAGCCTTAAATTTCTCCTAGATAAGAAAATAACAACTGCTACACAACAAAGAGGATTATCCAAACTTCTGGGGTCGCATTATACAATCCAGTATAAGAAGGGCAGTGAGAACTGTGTTGCTGATGCCCTTTCCAGGAGAGAAGCTGAACTCAACTCTACTCTTGTCATTAGACCCCAGTGGATGGAGGAGCTGGTTACCAGTTATGAAGGTGATGAGTGGGCTCAAGAGCAGTTGACAAGGAATTTAATCAGCCCTGGCAGTGATTCTAACATTACCATTACTGATGGATTCATCAGGTATAAACAGAAGACTTATGTGGGAAGTAATGGGGGACTGAGGAATAAATTGATTTTACAGATGCATGCCTCACCCCTAGGGGGACACTTTGGACAGCAAGGCACTTACCAGAGACTGAGGTCTTTATTTTATTGGAAGAAGATGAAATTGGCAGTCAAGACAGTAGTAGAAGAGTGTGATACTTGCCAGAGGTGTAAGGGAGAAAATGTTGCCCTCCCTGGCCTCCTACAGCCCCTAGCTATCCCAGACCAATCATGGAAGGGGATTTCTATGGATTTTGTTGAGGGGTTGCCTAAATCTCAAGGGAAGGAAGTAATTATTGTTGTGGTGGATAGATTGACAAAGTACAGCCATTTCATTGCTATCAATCACCCCTACTCAGCTAAGAGTGTAGCCCTAACATTCATGGAGAATGTCTATAAGTTACATGGGTTACCTGTTGATATTGTAACTGATAGGGACAAGGTGTTTCTCAGCAAACTCTGGCAATCTATTTTTAAGCAGCTGCAGGTCAACTTGAGTATGTCCACTGCTTATCACCCCCAATCAGATGGCCAAACTGAAAGGGTCAACAAGTGCTTAGAAACCTATCTCAGATGCATGGTATTTAGCAAACCAAAAACTTGGGCAAAGTGATTGTTCCTAGCTGAATACTGGTATAACACAAATTTCCACTCATCTCTGCAATGCACACCCTTCCAGGCATTATATGGATACAGTCCTCCTATGTTGGGCATAAATCAGGCTCAGGGAGTGAGATTAGAAGGATGGGTGACAGAAAGGGAGGCTATGTTAGCAATTCTTAAGGACAATTTGAGACTAGCTCAGCAAAGAATGAAGCATCAGGCTGACAGAAAGAGGTCTGAGAGAGTGTTACAAGTGGGGGATTGGGTATATCTAAAGATCCAACCCTATAGACAAGTCTCAGTAGCCGTAAGGACCAATGTGAAGCTGGCATCAAAGTACTATGGTCCATATAAGGTGATTGGGAAGGTGGGAACTGTGGCCTACAAACTAGCCTTACCTGCAAGTGCCCAAATCCATCCTGTCTTCCACGTTTCTCAATTGAAGAAGAAGGTGGGCAACCAAGCAGTACATCAGCTGGAACCACCCACTGTGGGACCAGAAGGAGAAGTACTCACACAGCCAATACCAGTGCTGGACAAAAGACAGGTGAAGAGAAATAATCAGGCAGTAACGCAAATTTTAGTACAGTGGGCGAATCTTCCAGCTGAAGCTGCCACCTAGGAGGATTTCTACCATGTTAAGAGTCAATTTCCTGATTTTGATCCTTGGGGTCAAGGATCATTAAGAGGAGGAAGTAATGTAATGGTTCCGGAGATTAATCAAGGAAGCAGGAGAACAGACGACGTCGTATGAGAGCAAGGAAGTTAAAGCAGTTACGGGAAATGCAAAACGCAGCGTTTGAAGGGGAAATTAAGTGGCAGTTATGGAGTTAGCCAACGACGCCGTTTAGCTTCTTAATTCCGTTAAGTTTGTTACATTGTAGAACTTAAATAAGCAGCAGTTATGTTGTGGAGGATTATTCAGTTTTCAGATAATGCAATTTCTACTTCTCAACTCTCAATTCTCTTCTTCTCTTCTTCTTCTTCTACCTCGCACCTCTTCTAACCCTAGTTTCGTTACAGCTGCGCAGATGACGGCATGAGGCTGAAATGCTGAATCCCTAACATTAAGCTCTTATTTATTTTTTATATATAAAAGTATTCCGCAAAAAAACAATTTAAACAATTTTAAATGACCGAAAGTTTTTTTTTTAAAAAAAAGACCGAAAAATATTTCCGACAACATATACTTTGTAGTCGGTATGTCCGACCACTCTTGAAGGATAGTTGGTAATTTCGATCCTTTTTTCTGTTAACTCAATGTCTTGACTGAAAAATGAAAAAATATCATTTTTTTCGACCATTTATATTGGTGGTCGGAAAAGTGGTCAAAAAAGTGAAAATTTTCGATAGTGGTCTCCGCTCAAATAGCATGTTTGGTTTGTCAGGAAATTTTTTCCAAGGAACAAATTTTTCTTAAATTTGAGAAAAATTGAATTTTCTTGTGTTTGGTTCATGACAAAATTTTTGCCGGAATTTTTTTTCTCAAATATGAGGAAAACAAATTCTTAGCTCAACATTGGTATCTTTTTTTCTATGGGCATTAAGAACAAATTATCACTTGATAGGACTTTTTCCCTCATAGAACTTACTTAATTACCCTAATAATTTTTATTATATTATTATAATAAAATATAAAATATATAATTATACTATTTTAATTTATGATATTGTAATTTATAAATCACTATTACTTTTATTATTATTATTACTAGTATTTGTCCCGTGCGATGTACGGAAAATATGTTATAAAAATATACCCTATATGAGGTTTATTCATATATAAAATTTTTGTTATTTAATAATTATCACCCGCGCGATGTACGGGGAAAAATATGTTATTATAAATATAAATATAAAAATAGAAAAATAAAAATATTTTAAATTGTTTAATATAATAATATTTTTGAGTTTCCATTGGTCAAGTATTTATTATGTTTATAGAATACAAAATTAAAATTAAAATTAAAATTAAAATTTTGTATGGTTAATATAATCTCTAATTATGTACATATTCAAATAAACGTATAGAGAGAATTTACGTAATTACATTGATTTATTCTTAATTGTATTTCATCTATATTATAATTTTCACAATACGAATAATAACTAAATATAATTACATTTAGAAAGCAAATTTCAAATTTTGTATGAGTAAATTTAAACTCTAATTGAACACATTTTTTATATGGTTATATAATATATTCTTTATGCACATTTCATTCCATAAACCCAAATGTCATTCTATAAGTCCAAGACCACTTTTTGTGGAGATAATTCAAATGTATTTTTTTTTTTTGAACCAAAACGCCAAACCAATATATTACGAAGACAACAAACCAGCAATACAAACGGGTGGGGTAACATCCCACGACCCTGAGACAGACGAAGAATCAGTCGCCCGAGCAAGTGTGTGAGCTACTAGAATTCGCTGTTCTCTTGACATGTTGGACCTTAACGTCCCCTATGTCCCTAGCAATCGACAAACATTGCTTTACAATCGTACCAACATAAGAAAAATCAACTCTACGGGAATTAAAAGCGTTACAAAAATTTAAACAATCAGACTCGAGAATTATTCGGTTATACTGAAGACCAGACAACCATGCTAGAGATGACTTGGCCGCCAAAGCTTCAGCCATAAAAGGGTCGTGGACGGCTGGAACGTGTTCGCTTCTAGCCGCAACAAAACTACCGGCATGGTCTCGCAAGACTGCTCCGAAGCCTGCCCCATTCTCGAAAGTAGCCGCATCGATGTTACACTTTAGATAACCTCGTGCCGGTGGAGTCCAGTGAACCGAGATAACCCGCCGAGGCCCCGGCACACTAACTGGATTGAAGGCTTCCGCCCAAGTTGATATCGATCTGTCGATCTGGACCCTCATCCACTCAACCGAAGGTGATACATCACGCCACACAATGTCGTTCCTAGTGCTCCAAATCGTCCAAATGGTGGCTGCCGCCTTAACAGCTTTGGCTGTACTCGGACCTGTCAGCAAATCCTCCAAGAACCACTGCATGTTATGCCCTTTCAGAATATCAACCTCAACTCATACTCTCTCGGCCCATGCACATTCACCGAAAATGTGTTCAGGTGTTTCCGCAATATGACCACAAAACGAACAGCCACTTCCAATCCAAACATGTTTCCTCTTCAAATTTTCACAAACCGGCAGCACATCACGAGCACACTGCCAAAGTAGATTCCGCACTTTAGGTGGTACCGGTAGAGCCCATAATTGCGTCCACGCATGAAAATTCGAAACAGCATCAGACTGCCCCGGATATTCGGTGAGTAGTCGGTACCCCTGTTTTACCGTGTAGCATCCTCGCACATCTCCAAGCCAACGCCATGTGTCCTTGAAATCCATACTGACTGGAGTTTTGAGAATTCTGAGTACATCGTGAGCCTGAAATAAATCGTGTATCACATCAGTATCCCACTCGCCAAACTCATTCAGCAACCCACTCACTCTAGCCTCCCGTAATTCATCAATACTCGGTGTGATGAGCCTTGGATTCGTAGAATCCGCAATCCAACCCCAACCCCAAATTTTAGTTCCCGTACCATCTCCTATCTTACGAGCTAAACCCTGTCGCAGCACCACTTGACCCGCCAAAATACTACGCCAAAAATAACTGGGGTTCCCCCCCCAATTTAGCCTCCATAAAGTCACAATTAGGAAAATACTTTGCTTTTAATAACCTGCTAACAAGAGAGTCAGGATTAATTAATAACCTCCACCCTTGTTTGGCAAGTACGGCCAAATTAAATTCATGCAACTTCTTGAATCCCATCCCACCTCTACATTTCGGCTCACTTAGCCGTTTCCAACTCAACCAATGTAAACCTCTACTGCCCGTACCACCCCCACCCCACCAATAGCGATTAAAAAGCTTTTTAATCGACTCACAAACCCGAATCGGCAATAAGAACGTGGACATAGTAAAAATAGGCAGCGATTGAGCAATACTCTTTAACAATACCTCTTTGCCTGCCCGAGATAGTAATTTGTGTTTCCACGCACCTATACGCTCCCGGATTTTCTCCTCAATGTACTTGAAAGTAGCCACCTTGTTTTTCCCCAAAACTGAAGGGAGGCCCAGATAGCGCCCCAGATCCTTCGATTCTGGTACCCCGAAGCATTCAAGTACGAACTCACGCATTGATGTAGCAGTATTAGTACTGAAAACAGCTTGAGACTTGTCAAAATTGATAAGTTGTCCTGAAGCCACACAATATCCATCCAAACATTCTTTGATTTTTAGAGCTTCCTGCTGATTGGCCCTAAAAAATAACAAGCTATCGTCAGCAAAAAAATAAATGAGTGACCGACGGGGCCCCCCGCGCCACTCTTATCCCATGGATATATCCACTCGCCTCCGCTTGTTGCAAGAGGATTGACAAAGCCTCTGCACACAGAATAAACAGATACGGGGATAAAGGATCCCCTTGCCTGATCCCCCGAGTAGGGCAGACAGTACCCACAGACTCCCCATTGACTTGAACTGAATAAGTAACGGTAGAAACACACAACAGCAACATGTCCACCCAGACTCGATTGAACCCCAAGGCTACCAACATCCCCTCAAGAAATCCCCACTCCATTCTATCATAGGCTTTAGCCATATCGAGCTTCAAAGCCACCCATCCCATAGACCCACTCACTTTCCTCCTCAGATAATGGCCCACCTCCCCGGCCACTATAACATTATCCGTTAGTAGTCTCTCAGGGACAAACGCGCTTTGAGACTGAGACACAATAGTGCTTAACACTTCCTTAAGTCTATTGGCCAACAACTTCGCTAACACTTTGTACACAACGTTACACAGTGCTATAGGACGCAAGTCAGACACTTTTTCTGGGACTTTCTTTTTGGGTAATAACACAATATTGGACTCATTTAAACTTCCCGGTAAACTGCGGTTCTCAACACAGTGAAGGACAAACATAGCCAAATCATGGCCTAACACAGGCCAGAAATGTTGGTAAAAAGCCGGCGACATTCCATCCGGACCCGGGGCTTTCTCCGGGGCCATAGAGAATAAAGCCTCTTTCACATCAGCTACCTCAAATGGTTGTGATAGTGAGGCGTTCATCTCATCCGTGACACGTTGCCGGACTCGATGCAGAGGACTCAAATCACAGTTTCCAGAACAGAAAATCATATTAAAATACCTTAAAATTTCAGCGTGCATTGCCTCTCCCTCCTTCCACTTGCCGCACTGGTCTTTCACCCGATGAAGTGCATTGCTTCTTCTACGAGTCGAGGCTGATTTGTGAAAATACTTTGTATTAAAGTCTCCATGTTTCAACCATGGTTGTTTCGATCGTTGCATCCAGAATATCTCTTCTTGCCTCAACAAACTGTCCAACTCCAAATCAGCCGCCATGAACTCCTCTACTGCTCTTGCCTCTCTGTTTTCCTTGAGCTCACTTAACCGATTACGCAGGTTCCTAATTCGATTCCCAAATTGCCGAAAATGCTCCCCTCCCCAACCCTTTAAGCGTTGACCACACACGCCAATCCTTTGCTGAAAACCCATACCCGCGGTCTGATTCCAGGCCATCTCAACCACTTTTGCGCAACCCTCCTCAAGTAACCAAGCGGACTCGAACTTAAAAGACCGTCTAGCTGCCCGTATCGGTTGTGCCTCCAAGTCGAGAAAAATGGCACTGTGATCCGATGATCGCATATGAACATGCCGAACCACCGCTTCTTCATGTAATTCCATCCAACTCACCGTCGCCACAGCTCTGTCTAGTCTTTCTTCGATCCACTCCTCCGTACCCCGACCTTTCTCCCACGTATAGCGTCCCCCCACCATCCCCAAGTCGTTGAGTTGGCAATCACTCAGAGTATCATTGAATCCTTCAATAAGCGCATCCGGATGGGGATGCACACCCCGTTTCTCAGCTACGCAGGTAATATCATCAAAGTCTCCCACAACTATCCAAGGCAGCGGTGAGCTGTCCTTTAGATGTCGTAAGAGATCCCATGTGTCTTGTCTCCTCGTTCTATCCGGATTGCCATAGAAACCGGTTAGTCTCCACCTCGATTTTCCAGGAAAACTGACTTTAACATCAATGTAATTAATTGAATAGCTCATCAACGACACTGCTTCCTTATCCCTCCACAGTAGAGCCAGGCCGCCCCCCATACCCTCTCTGTCCAGACAAAAAGCCCCTTCAAAACCCAACTTTATTCTCACCTCTTCAATTTTTTTCGCCTTTGCTTTCGTCTCCAACAAGAAGACGAAAAAGGGTCGCCCCTTGGACACAACGCCCAAGAGTTCACGAACTGTCCGGGTGCCACCCAAACCCCGGCAGTTCCAGCTGATTAGACTCATTTGGCCGGGCGAGCCTGGCTGTCCAGACCCGCCTCTGTCAGATTCTTCGAAGTCTCTGTCATCATCACGTCTTCCCCACGCACATCACTTGTCGTCTCATCCTCCTCCCGATGTCTCTTTAATTCACCTTGCAGTCCTACGTTCTCCTCCATTGCCACCAATTCAAGCGGCGATGGTCCCGGTGGGATGTGCGGTTCTGGTTGCTGTGGTAAAGCAGGTAATAACCACTTTGCACCTAGTGGTTTTGGTTGACGACGTTGTCCTGCCCGCATCCAGCTGCCGAATGGGAACGCATCAGGTTGAATGCCCTCCTCATACACCTTTGGACAGAACTTGTCCGTGTGACCCAGCAATCCACAACAGAAGCAGAAGATGCTGAGACGTTCGTAACGGAACGTAATCCACTGTGTAGTACCATCTTTGCGGAGAAGTTTCATCCGCCTCTTCAACGGCGAGGCAATCATCAGCTTGACTCTGATTCTGTGAAAACTTTTCCACGTTCCCCCGAAATTTCCTGGATCGATGGCGACAAAACTCCCCACATAATTACCGATTTTGGCGATAAAATCAGATGTGGCATACACCGCCGGCAGACCGTGGATTTGGACCCAGAATGTGATGGAGTCTAGCTGGACATCTTCCGGCCTCATCTCCGGTGGCACCTTCTCACACACTGCACGAGGATGTGATTTTCGAAAGACCAGGGTCCATCATCGAGCACCCTCTGTCGATCTTTCGGATGAGGGAATTGAAAGAGGAATAGGTCCTCCGTTAAAGCCACCGCACACATACCCTTCACCGGTCTCCAGACCGATGCCATGACTTGCTGCATATGGTCGAATTTGATTGTGCGATCGGTGAGAAAACGCCCTATCAGATTGTACTGCGACGCCTCAACAATATGGATTGTTGAATCTGGGGCCTCCAGCCCATTGATTTCTTCTTCAGCGATTGTTAATTCGGCGCAACGTTCCTCAATTTGACGAACATCCATGGTGAGGCAGATTAACAGATAAGCTATGAAAACAGTATTTTGAGAGATCCTCATTTGCAAGACTGAATCGGCAATAAATAAATAAACCAGAAACCCTAGACACTAGGGAGATAGACTCTTAGACACGATCACAAGAGAAGGCCACGATCGGAGGTCGTGATCGGAATCACGATCGGCGGGCACGAACGGGGATCACGAGCTTTGCGGAGAGAATAGAAAAATGCTTAGAGCCACCTTAAATTAATTAATTCAAATGTATTTTTTTCCTTTTAAAAGTCCTAAGTTTAGAAATCCATAAAAACATTAAAAACCCATACGATATATACATTTATATATATTTAAATTTTTATTTATGGCTCAAATGATTTTTTTTTTTATTCTGAAGTCCAATAATAGACCTACGGCCCGCAGCATTTGCTTTCTTCATCCTTTCTCGCTTCTGCCATTTCTTTGAAGCATTTGAGAGGGACAAAAATTATATGTAGAGGCTTACATTAATTGCACTGTTTTAGATATCGAATAGGCTTTCATTGAAAATTTAATTAATATTGTAATCCCAAGAAGCACCATAAATAACAAAAGCATATCAAATAAACTTTCATTGTAAAGCCAGAGATTTAATTGATATTGCATCGTTTCATATTTTCTATTAATCGGGAATCGGAATCCTTAATCCTAATATCATAACATTTAATAACTCCATTAATTCAATAAATGTAATCATTTGTTATGAGCGAGAAAAAAATAGCTATTTTATTTTTCAAATGTTGTGTTTTTTTTTTATATAGTAAATGATGTTGTGGCTATTTTATTTGTATTTATATTTATAGCTAGTAATAATAATAATGTTGGTAATTAATTGTAACATTAATCTTAACTATATGGTTTGAGAAGTAACATTAATTGTAACATTAATTACTTCCCAAACCATATAGCTTTATTATAGTTTAGATTATTATTATTATTATTATTATTATTATTATTATGTAGGGCCATATTGGTTTTTATACTTATTATTTCTAACAATTCCAGACCTTCCCGGTAATTTCTTTTCCACAAACCAAATAATGGAATCAATTGTCCTGTAATTGTTTTTACATAGAATTTTAATTCCATCAATTATTTATGCGAACCAAACAGGCCGTAAATGATAAGAAGAATACACATATTCTCAAAATCCAGTACCCCAATTCTTGGGAGAACCCTTTCCCATGGCCTCCTCCATTTCTCATCGTCTGCTACATTGTTGGAATTACGGGACTGCATATCATTGCTCCAAGCATGTGCGATCAAGAAGAATCTCAAAGTCGGCAAACGACTATATGCCCACATGCTTGTGACTGGCCTTGTGAATTCCTCCCCACTATGCAATACCAGCCTCATCAATATGTACTCCAAATGCAATCCCAACTTCATGTCTGATGCTTTCTTTGTGTTCTCCACTTCACCGTCTCAGGCTCGCAATGTCTTCATGTACAACGCCCTTATAGCTGGATTCATCGCTCATGATTTACCCAAGCCAGTTCTTGAAATTTACTCTGAAATGACAATGTTGGGCATGGTGCCTGATAAATTCACTTTCCTTTGCATGATTAAGGCGGCTTCTTCTTGCAATCGTCTTGTATGTATGAAAAAGATCCACGGGTTAGTGTTCAAGCTCGGGTTAGAATTTGATTTGTTTATAGGCAGTGCATTGGTGCACTGGTACTTGACCTTTGGCTTGACAGAGGAAGCAGAGGGGGTGTTCGATGAATTACCTATGAGAGATGATGTTGTGCTTTGGAATGCTATGATTAATGGGTATGCTCAGTCTGGGCAGTTTGACAGGGCTCTGCATGTTTTTAAGTGGATGATGGATGATGGGATTACACCAAATAGATTTAGTGTTACTGGTATGTTGTCGGCTCTTTCAAATTCTGAGGCAGTTTATAAAGGAAGGGAGGTGCATGGATTCGTGATAAGGAGAGGGTACGATGAAGGCATTGCTGTTTTGAATGCATTAATTGATATGAATGGAAAATGTAAGCGTGCAAGTGATGCTCTGCAGGTTTTTGAGATGATGGATGAGAAGGACATATTTTCATGGAACTCAATAATATGTGTTTGCGAACAATGTGGTGATGATGAGGGAACCATGAGGCGCTTTTAAGAGGATGCTATGTGCTCAAATGCAACCAGATTTAGTCACTGTAACTACGGTCCTCCCTGCTTGTTCTCATTTGGCATCATTGAGGCATGGCAAGGAGATTCATGGGTATATGATTGTTAATAGGCTAAAGAAAGATGGCGATGCTGCAGAACACAGCAACTCTTACATTGACAATGCTATAATGGACATGTGTGCAAAATGTGGGAGCATGAATGATGCTCAGCTGATCTTTGACACGATGAGCTATAAAGATAGAGCGTCATGGAACATTATGATTAAGGTGTTTGAGCTTGATCCGGAGCATTGCGGAAGTTATGTTATGATATCAAATATTTAGGGAGCAAATGACCGCTATGAAGAGGTCCTTGAAGTAAGAGATACAATGAGGCTACAAGAAGTGAGGAAGGTCCCTGGTTGTAGCTGGATTGAACTCGAAAATGGCGTGCATTCGTTTGTTACTTGTGACAAGACTCATCCTCAAGGGGACCTTATCTATGCTGGATTAAATTCATTAACTGCTCGATTTCGTGAAAATGGGTACAGGACAGATGCCTTGGACTGCAATATATAAAATTCTGTTCTTGACTTCTTGTTCAACTTTGGCCAAAATCTTGAGTGCAAAGGGAAAATCGCGTTCACGCCCTAACCAATAAATAAAATCTTTAATTAATTGAGTAAAATAGTTTGGGCGGAAAATTTGTAAAATGAGAATTTTGTTTTTAATTATATAATAATAATAATAATAATAATAATAATATATTATTGAATTCAGATTGCATACGTTACTATTGGTTCTTAATTATGGTACATTTTTATTAATTAATTTGCCATAATACCACTTATATTATATTATGGTATACGTGAATAAACCCCCTCAGATTGCCTTCAGATTGCATACATTGCAATTTGTTCTTAATTATGGTATTGCATAATTATGAATTTATGATACATTTTAATTAATTTTCATTAAAAATTTACTTATTACCAAAAAAGATTTATTATTTATTTAACCAATAAATAAAATCTTTAATTAATTGAGTAAAATATTTTGGACGGGAAATGGTAGATGGAGGATTTTACTTTTAATTATATATATAGATATATAGATATAGATATAAATATATAGATATAGATTGGTGTTATTAATTTGAATACAATAACTTGATGTCTAAAATGGATTTGAACCCAATTAGATCAGTTATAGAGATTTTCTAGATCTTCTAGACTTCTATCTTCATATTTTATTAGGGAGAATGACACTTTTTCCACCTGAGTTATATATTTATAGCACTTTTCCCCCCTTAATTATTCAAGTGGCTGTTTTTCCCCCTGAAATGTTAAATGGACATTCCCTTAAAATAAATATTTCATTTATTTTTCATCTCCAACATATTATGATCATAATTTGGTTCAAACCAAACAAACACTATAGCAACCAAACCGAAATATTTCAATTACAATTTAGAATCGAAACTCGATATTTAGAGTTTATCAAAATCGCGAATTGGAACGGACGGTTCATGTTCCGAATTGAAAAAAAATAAAATACATTTATTGTTGAAGTTAGACTATTTTAAAATAAAAAATAAAATTTTAAAATAAAAAATAAAATTTTAAAATAAAAAATAAAATTTTAAAATAAAGACGGTTCAAAATCGCGAACCGGATCCGGAACCGACGATTTACAGTTTAGGATCCAATTTTTTTTATTCATAATTTTAATAAATTGAAATCCAAATATTAATTGGGTTCTAGATCTGAATCATAACCGGAAACTAACTTTTAATTCGATTGCTATAGTGTCTGGTTCAGTTCGAACCGAACCGTGGTGATCCCTACGTATACGCAATAATTTGTTGAAGAAGTAAAATAAATAAAATGTTTACTTTAAGAGTAGAAATGTCAATTTAATATATTAGGGGGAAAAACCACCACTTTTAGAATAATTGAGCGAGCTAGTGTGCTTACCTAAATAATTGAGGGGGGAAAAGTGCTATAAGTATATAACCCAGGGGAAAAAGTGTCATTTTCCCTATTTTATTATGTTTCTTACTTTTATAAATAAAAATTTCTATCATCATAGCAAAATTTAAATATTAAAATAATCTCTCTCTCCCCTATGTTTTTGTCTCTATATTATTTTCTTTGTCTTTACAATTTACTCTATTATATTTAGATTATATCTCAAAATAAAAATAATGAAGGTCTAAATTAAATTATTAGACAGAACCTCTATTTTTAATGAAATAGTCCTCCATATATACCTATTGAGGAATCCAAATCACATTAGATGGTAATGAAGACGGTGGTCGCAATTATGAATCGGGGAAGTTATGAAGAAGAGTCAGTCATTACGCTTATCAAAGATTGCTATTTTTAATGAAATAGTCCTCCATATATACCTATTGAGGAATCCAAATCACATTAGATGGTAATGAAGACGGTGGTCGCAATTATGAATCGGGGAAGTTATGAAGAAGAGTCAGTCATTACGCTTATCAAAGATTGCTTTGATCTCGTCAGAAAGTTTAATATGATCAGGATTTCTCATATCGAAAGGGAGGGGAATCAGTGTGCGGATTGGTTGGCCAACCTTGGTCAAAACGTGGCCTGGGGGGACGCTCGTTCTAGATTTCCCCCGGTGGAGCTCAACGCCTTACTCGAAGCTGACGCCCGTGGTAGGCTAGTTTCAAGGTTTCGTTAATGCCTTCCTTTGAGGGCTTCAAATGTACCCAAAAAAAAAAAAAAAAAAAAAAAAAGATGGTAATGAAGATGAGAGAGAGGGAACAAATAGCCAAATGGGCAGTAACGAGAGAGAGAGACAACGCACCAAACCATGTGAGTTAGGAAGTTTGTTAGGGTAAAAGTTAGGAAGTTTGTTAGAAGTGCCTAAAAATTAGGAAATTTGTTAGAGGTGCCTAAGATATTTTTTTTTTTCTTTTTTTGGATATAGAGTGCCAATATATATAAGGCTAAACTTTTCATATTATTTTACTTGTACTATCCTTTATAAAATTTAGTTTCAAACATTCAATATTCTGATAGATAATTTTAATGGTTGTTTTTGTTTTTATTTTTTGTTTTCAAAAAACTCAAACAAGGTATATAAAATCAAATGCTTCTTCTCTCCCTCAGCTCCGTCACCATTTGTTGGTCCAAGAAAACACCCTCCCCCTCCCCCTCATGGGCAACTTTTACCCTATCTTTATATTGGCCCCCCGGCTTGTGTCATGTGTCTCATAATTACATAAAACAAAGGGTTAAAGAGTCACCCAGTATTCATGGGTTATGGCGCAGGTAATAGCCCACCAATACCAGAGGATCCAGTCAAATACAATAAGAATATGGTAAGTTATTATTGTTATTGTTGTTAGTTAAATATTAGATATTTAACCTTTTATAATTTCAATATGTAGATTTATAAGACATTAATAGGGCGTTTGGTTGGAGGGAATTTAAATTTCATTCCCACCTAAATTCAAAGACCAATAAATTCCTTAGTTTGGTTGGAAGGAATTGCAATTCCACGAAATTACAATTCCCTCATTTTCATGGAATTAAAATCACATGCCCCCTTGGGATTTTAATTCCATGGCATCTTGGGAAGAAAAAAAGATAATAAGATAATGATGAGACAAACTTACCCTTCCCTTTTTTAACCTTAAATTGATGCCTCACAACAACAATGAGTATTTTGGACTTTATACTACATATTCCCTTTCAATTCCCATGTATACCAAATATTGGAATTGAATTTTCCAGTAATTTTATTCCTGTAAACCCAACACTGGAATTTAAATTCTCACTTTATTCTCCGTAATTTATCTTCCATGGAATTGCAATTCCTTTCCCACCTAATTCCATCATTCCAACCAAACGCCCCGTAAGAGAACAACTATCAATCAATTTTTGGATCCATGAGTGGAATTCTCATAGTACAATTTCGAATAACAAATTTAATCAATATCAATATTTCCAGATGGCCATATCTTTACACAAATAATTTATTAATATAAAAAATGATCGTACCAAGCATAATATTATCCTTGATCATTCTAAACTTCAATCTTATAATTTGTTTATGGAAGCACTTAACCAGATCACAGGGTGCGGTGCCAATCTTATATGTAAGGCTGATTCTAAGGTACCAACTATCTTATAGAGATGAGATTTTGTTTTGACATTGCTGCTGAAAATTTGATAAATTGTAATCCAACTACTCGGTGATGTCAAAACAATTTATCAAATTTGAGTTGGATTACAATTTATCAAAATTTTCAGCAGCAATGTCAAAACAAAACCTCATCTCTCTAAGATAGTTGGTACCTTAGAATCAATCTTACATATAAGATTGGCACCGTGCCCTGTGATCTGGTTAAGTGCTTCCACAAACCAATTATAAGATTGAAGTTTAGAATGATCAAGGATAATATTATGCTTGGTAAGATCATTTTTTATAGAGAAAATAGTCAAATAAGCCCCTAAACTTTATCCCAAAAATCAATTATACCCTAAACTTTAAAAAATGCAATTAACCCCTCAAACATGTCAAATTGGTAAATGACCTGTTATTATAGGTCATTTCAATTCCAGCAACGAATTCCGGCCACTGGCGACAAAATCCGGTCGTCCAGTCATCTTCCACTAGAGAAGATGACCAGATATAGTCGTCTTCTCCACCACTAGAGAAGGTGGCCGTCTGGTCATTTTCTCAAATGGAGAAGGCGACCGTCCAGTCGTCTACTCCCGTGGAAGACGACCAGACGGTCAGATTTTGTCGCCGGTGGTCAGAATTCATCGCCGAAATTGAAATGACATGTAATAACAGGCCATTACCGATTTTGGGCTTCATTGACCCAATTTGACATGTTTGAGGGTTTACTTGCACTTGTTTAAAGTTTAGGGGCCTAATTGACTTTTGGAATAAAGTTTAAGGGCTTATTTGACCCTTTTCTCTCTTTTTTTTTTTTTTTATATTAATAAATTATTTGTATAAAGATATGGCCTTCTAGAAATATTGATATTGATTAAATTTGTTATTCGAAATTGTACCATGAGAATTCCACTCATGGATCCAAAAATCTTCATCTTTTATGTTGCCTCAAGAGTAGGGCAATTGATTGATAGTTGTTCTCTTACAGCACATTTAGTTCACGGAATGAGTTTTGGGGTAATAGGTTTGCTATTCTATAAGGAATGGAATATGCAAGGAATAGAATATGAATTGTATTCTATTGTTTGGTTCGCGGAAGGAATAGACTTTAGGAATTATATTACAGTGTTTGGTTGGTTTAAGGAATAGAAATGAAAAATGTTTTAAAAGACATAAATACCCTTATAAAAATATGGAGTTAATTCCACAGGAGGTCCCTTGTCTTTGGTGGCAATTCCAAATTTAATCCCAGAATATCGTTTTTGCCATTTTACATACCAGACTATTATTTTTGGACATTTTTAGTCATTCTCATGATTTTTTCTATTTTTAGTAAGGATATTTTTATCTTTTCATATTTTTCTTTTGTTATTTTTCCAGTTTCAACCAATTTAATTGGTTTAGAACTTTAGGTAACCTCTGATTTTTAGTAACCATATTTTTCAACCAAGTTTTAGTAAAGTCCTAAACCAATTAAACTGGTTGAAATCGGAAAAATAACAAAAGAAAAATATGAAGAGACAAAAATGCCCTTACTAAAAATAGAAAAAATCATGAGAAGGACTAAAAGTGTTCAAAAAATGATAGTCTGGGATGTAAAATGGCAAAAACGATAGTCTGTGACTAAATTTGGAATTGCCACCAAAGACAAGGGACCTCCGGTAGAATTAACTCTAAAAATATGTGGTGGTGGCGGTGGTGGTGCTGGTGCTGGTGGTGGCGGCGACGGTGGTGGTGCTGGTGGTGGTGGCGGTGGCGATGGTGGCAGCAATGGCAGTGATGGTGGCGGTAGTGATGGTGGTGAAATAGGAAATAAATTTAATTAGAGGTAAAATAAGAAATATATAAATGTGTGTGTGTGTGTGTGTGTGTGTGTGTGTGTGTGTGTGTGTATACCCATGTATGTAAGGGTATTTGTGGTATTTGTAATATAAAACCTATTTCCGTAAGCATGGGAATAGCTAATACCAAGGTCTCCTAGGAATGGCTATTCCCTTTGCAAAGGGAATATGTCATTCCTAGGAATAGTATTCCCATTACAAAATGATGAACCAAACAATGGAATAGGTCTATTCCAATGAATGTCATTCCATTCCTGATCTATTCCATAAACCAAACATGTCATTAATGTCTTAGAAATCTACATATTG